TTCCTCCAATATATTTATTATACTCTATTACACACATAGGTTTATTTACAAATTCTAACCCACCCTTTCGACTTACGGGTTGCATTTCGTCTGAATGTTTAGTAGTCAGCACTGAGACATCGCGCTTATCCTTCCACTTCAACACCACCAATTTCCCACAGTTTGCATTAACTACTTCTCCTTTCTTCAGTTTCTTTTTTAGATCTATTGGCATAATTTTGCGTGTGATACTCACTGTTCCAACAGCATCTGTTGTCCTCTGAACTAATCTCTAGAAAAGATCGGGACTGCTATAAAAATTGTCCATTTAACACATCTGCCCGAGTCTAATAGTTTCTCGCACAAATTTAGAACAACTTTTGTTGAGAAAAGATCTGTGTCTTTGGTGATTTCACAGCCTAATTTTATCCCTGATCCACTGTAAATTATAAAATTCCACAAATATCCTGCAGAATCACAAAGTTCAAAAATTTTAAACCCAAACTGGGAAGCTTTCATAGGAATATATTGTTTCCATGAAAGTCTACCTTTCCACAATAACAAAGATTCATCGACACTTACTTCTTGGCCCAGTATGTACACTTTCTAGAACTTATTTTTCAAATATTCACTTACCGGAAGAATTTTGTACAATTTAGGATCTCTTTATGCAATCTCCTTATAGGTGGTATCTACTAATTGGAGAAATCTGGTCAGCAATGAAAACCTTTCTTCACTCATTACACTGGGAAAAAATGGTGTTTCTAACATATGTTTCCTACTAAAATACATCCTGAGGTTTGGTTTCTGAATTATTCCCATCAGCATAAGCAAACCTAGGTATACCCTAATTTCATTCGAAGTTGTGGGAACCCAATTTGAAAGCGTTATTTTATTAGCGTCAGGGGCAAGAAACTGTCCCATCAGACAAGTTACGTGACCAAATGCCATGGGGCTCCGATAAGAGTGTGCTGCAAAGCGGAAAAGGAACAACATATTCTTAAATGTTGACACAGGCGTCAGGCAACTTTGACCCCTAGGTTCGTAACATCGTAAATCAGACAGAGCTTCTTTGTCGCCAGTAAGCCAAGCCAGTAAAAAAAAAACACACACACACACACACAGATAACAAGCACTCAACGAAAGCTAGCTAACAAATTATCTCTCTGAAAGCAAGTCGGAGTGTGAGTTGGAACAATTCTTTCGTAAGCAGCAGACACCAGATGCTTTGTCCCAAGAAAAGCGAGTACAAAAAATACCACACACAAACAGATAGCGAGGAATGAAAGAAGTCAGTATTAGCTTACATAAACATTCACTGGAAGTACATACATCAGAGCGTAGGTGTTAAGAATTCTTAGTGAAATGTTTGGATGCAACATATGCGGCGCGCACGCTTACAGCACAGGTTTGAGCGGATGCAGACGGTATGTCGCACACGCTTAGGGATTTAAATGGCTCCACTTAAAGTCACGTTCAAGGGGTTAATAGCTTTATTTGTGTAGATTCCACTTCACCACAACTGCATCCATATTTTAGGAGGTGTTGCCCATGCCAGTTTTTCACTATTGTCCTTTGTACCTCTTACACATTCTCGGTATATAATGTTTAGTCACCTTTCTGTCTAACCGAAAATAACAAAAAAATCTGTCATGACAATCACCCAACAGCAGAACTCCAACGATGTCAGGTATATTAAATTTACTTCAAATAAAGGGCAACAGGCAATGTGTCTATATGTCACACACTGTCACAAATCTTTAGAGAACCATTAGTTATCCTGTCACACATCCCCTCAACACAATGACACTGCTGTTATTACATGGATACAGACTGCATTGAAGACAGAAAACAAATGATAAACTTCAGCATTTATAGATCCTGGGAACTCTATGATGTAGTACCAAAGCAAAGCTTAGTGGATTGGACAGACAAGGAAACTGTGAAGGATATTTCTTGCTGTGGAATTTATCACAAACATTCAGTTTACACAAGATCTATTTTCATCTATATCAGATCTGTTTAACGAAAATGGGAGTGGTGCATCACATGCAACATTCAATGTACTACAGTCAGGAAAAAAAAAACCTTTAAAATCTAGTCAACAGCAGAGTAAAGTTGTTTCATGTTCACAGAGATGGATATCGGAAAGACAAGTGGCATTTCTGCACATTAGTGTCATCTGCCTAACAGTGCACATACAGCTCACCTCAGGTGCAGCCTTTATTTCCGGAAATGTTACTGGGACAGGATCCTCTTCCTCTCCTGCATCTGGGACTGCCTCAGCTTTTACATTCATGGCATGATTTGCATCATGAGGTGCGGGCCATGTCTCACCATGTGGACCCACTAAAGCGTTCTCTGAATTTGTATAGCTCTGTAAAAACCATCACATCCTTCTCAGAAATGGATGTACAACACCAAACATTAAACAGCTTATGCTCTCCTTGCTATGGCTGTTTCTCATCACATCTAACTCATAAGAGATTTTTTTTACAGATGCTCTTCTCTACAGCTATCATGATCACTAGAAAGTACTCGGTTTATAGCTCAGTGACCTTCCCAAGGAGCTATTGGTCACTGCGGCAGTACAGAAAATATCCACTGGTTTGGTGCCTAAAAACATCATAATGACGAGGTCCACAACTTGTAACCTTCGTTCACCCTGCATAATTATATGATCAAGTCAAGGAGGATGAGATGGGCAGCTCATATAGCAGGTATGGGGGAGAAGTGGAATGCATATAGGATTTGACGAGAAACTCAGAATGAAAGACACCAATAGGAAGACCTAGGCATAGGTGGGAAGATAATATTTAAATGAATCTTTAAGAGACATGGGATGGGGTGATGTGGACTGGTTTCAAATGGCTGAGGATAGGGACCTGTGATGGGTTTTCGTAAACATGTCAATAAACTTCCAGGTTCTATACAATGTTGGGAAAATCTTCAGTGGCCAAGCAACTGGCTTCTCAAGGACTCACTCAGATCCATGGAGTTAGTTATGCTACGTAAGGGCTCATTACTGTGCTCACACATGCTAATCATGGCTCTGTATCCTAAGGCAAACAGACCCAGTACACACCATTCCAAATTATTTCTCTAAAATCCATCTTAATAGCATCTCTCGATCTGCACTTAGGTCTACCAACTGGTCTGCTTCTCTCAGGTTTTCCTTTAAAAACTTTGTATGCATTTCTCACTGTTGCATGTGCACTACATGACTTACCCACATCACTCTCCTTCAGCTCATTGCTCTCCTACATAATATCCCAAACTGTTATCACCCAAGTGTAAGGGACTGTCCACATGGATTATGTAAACAAACAGAAGCAGGTCACAAAATATTTACTTTCTCTGACCAAGAGAGCTGAAATATAACAATAAAATTATCTGTGCACACAAGCACAAAACACTCACAGAATCCTGTGTAACCTTGAAACCTGTTAATCACATTAATACTTTGTGAAGTTCACTGTAATTAGCTTAAAAGAGTCCTAGTAATTTAAATTCTTAGTTCTAAGAAGTGTACTAGTAACTAACTACAAACAGTTCCATGACTCCCTAAGGATTTTTGCTGCTACAGAATTTCTCTCAGACACTGTTCCATTTATGCAAAATTTAATTTCATCTATATCAGAACTCCTTAAAAGGAAATGGAAGTGGTACATCACAAGCAGCATACATTCAACAAATTATAACTGTCTAGACACTTCAGAAAAAGGCCTTCAAAGGCGAATCAGCAGCACAGTGGAGCTGTCCCATGTGCACAGACAGACAGCCAGACAGATGGAGATTAGAAAGGCAACAGGAATTCCTGCCTATCTGCGATATCTGCCTAACAGCGGACATACAGAAGCATACAGCTCACCTCAGGTTCAGCCTTTATCTCCTGATATGTTATTCGCACAGGATCCGTTTCCCCTTGTGAGCCTGAGACAACCTCAGCTTTTATATTCATGGCCTGGTTTGCATTATGACTTGCTGTGTATGTCTCACCATACGGACCCACTAAAACCTTCTCTGAATTTGTACAGTTCTGTAAAGGCACGACATCTTCTATCAGTCACGGCTGTACAACACCATACATGAAACAATATATGCTCTCCTTGCTGTAGCTGTTTCTCATTACATCTAACCCATAACAGCGGCTCTGTACAAATTTCTTCTCTACAGACTTCATAATCTTAGGAAGTGTTAAGTTCATAATGCAGGGACCTTCCTGTGAAACCCGTGGTCCCTGTGGAAGTACAGACAATATGCATCTGCTCTTTATGGAACCTGAGCACTCATTATTGTGTTCACATATGCCTATCATGACTCTGCATCCTGACACAAACACACCCAGTCCAAAACTCCATAACTGTATCTTTAAAAAATCCATCTACACAATTGTCTCCCAAGTGGTCTCATTTTATTAAGCCTTCTGTCAAAATCTTTGTTCACACTTCTCATTCTCACATGTGTGCTATATGACCTACCCATTATCACTCCCCTTGAACTGATTCCTCTCCCACATAACATGGCAAACTGTTATAATGTGATGAACCAAGTAGACTAACCAGATGGATTATGAAAACTAAAGCTTGGCATAAAGAGTTTAGTTTCTTAAGATATGAGAATTGACTGATGACAATAAAATTATTGTCTGTGGACACAACAACAAAACACTCACCATCCTTTCTGTCTCAGCAGGAAATGTTTCTTCAGCTCTCTGTAGCAGAATTCTCGGCATTCCTGCTCCAAGAGAATGCAGAATCTTTCATAACCTTGAAACTTTACTTTATCACACGTAATGCTTTTGTGGGTGGCAAATGAATTGATTTACAAGAATCCTAGTGATATAGAAGTTGTACATATATAAAACTACAGTGATACAGAAGCTATAAAGTGACGTGGTTTTCTTTGTTCTCACAGCAGAAGCAAGCAGAGATTATGAAGCTTAGTGCCTTATTACACGTTGTGTAGTCTAACAGACTGTTGCTTAGTTTTGAAGGCAGATAGTTCACCCACTCCGACTTAACCTCTTGCTTCCAAAACGTCGGTAAAAGCCTACCAGACTGCACGGTGCTACGTCCTACAAACAGAAAAACTACTCTACAAATTTAGATCGCATAGCCGCAAAATGCATTTTTATGCCCTTCAACTTCAACCAGTTCACCATCCACCATCAGCTCTCACGACCCTCACGACTTCCATTATAAGTCGGATTAGTATGTGGAACGGGCGAGAATTGGCATAAAACAGTAAATGTTCATGATACTAGAAAAATCACCATCAGAATGGGCGCTGCGAAGTTCAGCAGATCCCTAACTAGAACTTGCAACAGCGGAATAACATCACGAAATTGCTCAAAATATGAGGAAATCGAATTTATCTCGAATAATTCCCAAAAGAACAGCCACAACTTACACACTTTCACTAAAGGCGTAATATCTAATACCACCTAAAACGATCTAGTTACTACGACGCAAGAGTTTGTTCTAATGGTTGTAATCGTTGTAATCGTAGGGATGGTGGTCACTCGTGGTCTCTGTATCACAGCCACGGAAATCACAGCCGACAGCACTGGACGGGCTGGTGTACATGTAGCTCAGCAAATGGATCTGCCCATTAACCTGTTTGTCATCTGTCGCCTAAGCCGGTTAAGCTTTTCCTAGGCCTCTTTTGTATTTGCGGCACGCACAACAGTTCATGGGTTCTCTAGTACTTTGCAAGCAGTAAGACGAGGTTTGCCGGTTTCGCCTGGATTAGCTTACCAACTACGAAATTTGTTATGTATCAGCCACATAAATCGGTTGTCTCATCTACTAATATCCAGACACAGTTCCCTACGATGTCAGAAGGGATTGACTCCGGAGTAGAGGCATATAGCAAAGGTAGATTCTTTTTCTAAGAGCTGATCCGTCTGGGATTTTTTTAAGTATCCAGAAATGATCGCAAAACTGGATTGCTTAATTTATTCCATGGAATTGTGGGGTCTTATGTAGTTTTGTCTTTACTCCGATGACAACCCACTTCTTCGGAACAGTTTGTTGGTCCTTAAAATTACCGTGATTGCTGAGATGCTTGACCGGTTAGGTAGCTCGGCGAGCGCCGGTAGGATGTTGGTTGCGGTGTGTGGACTGGCCGCAGTGCGGCTGTTGCTTGATCGCAGTGCGGCAGATGGTGGAGGTTGCTTGATCGCAGCGCGGCGGCTGCTGGTGAAAGTCCGCTCGTCGTGCGCGGTCGCTGGAATGGAGAGGCGGTAGCTACGTCAGTTGCCCAGTGTGTCGGGTATAACTACTGGCGAGTCCGAAAGCCTAGTTGCCCAGTGAGTCGGTTGCGACCGGCAGACAGCCGTGGCAGTCATGCCTGGCGCAGCGAAGCGCCGATGCCTCCGTAGACCGAGCGCTGGCGATGAAATGTGCAAATTGCCTTTAGAGTTCTTGAGAACTGACTGCAGACTGACTAACTTGCAAAGTCAAAGTCATGTTACAATGACGGTCAGTCAGTCTGTCTGTCTTGGTGTCGAGCCCCAGCTGGGGCTCATGACCAGATGTTTTCTTCTTTGTGAAAGTTGCTGTCTTGTCCATTTGGGGCGGCCTCTCTGACGACAGGTCGAGTCTGTCATTTGTTAGCCAGTCTGTTTTAAGAAGTCCACAGTCTGTATTTACATAATTTACAAACTCAAATTTGTACCTTCTATGTACAATATATACAAGGCATCTGTCAGTCCAAGCTCAGTATAGCAGATTACGCCCTATTTCCAGCAATATTTGCTACCATGGCATTCTAGTCACTTGAACGGTCGTATGCTTGACCGCCACCAAGTTTAAGCCTCTTATACTTTCTGTGTCGGGCTTCGCCTTGTCCGATGTTGCGAACATTCTCATTATCATGATTTTGTATGACTTCTGCTTGTTGCCTGCATAATTTTGTTATAAAGTCATATACGTACTGAATTTTGAATGCCATGTGCAATTCGCTGACCGGTGTGCGCCTTGGAAAATTGCCAATCGTGCGGAGAACTTTGTTTTGCAGGCGCTGCAATTTCACTAGATGAGTGTCTGCCGCAAACTCCCAGGCGGGACTAGCATAAGTCATTACGGATCTAATAAGAGCTTTATGGAGGGTCAGTTTAATGTTAGCGCTCAATCGCTCACTTTTGAATAGGGAGTACACTCTAATGAATGTTCTGAAGGCCTTGGCTTCGATCATTTCTATGTGTAATCTCCAAGTCACTCTCTTATCGAAGATTACACCTAGATATTTTGCACTATTTACAAATGGAATGTTTCTTCCGTTTAGAGTAAGACAAGACTCAGGCGGTCGACGACCACGAGAGAAGTAGACCCCCCGAGTCTTATCTTCATTAACTTTTCTATTCCAGTGCTCATACCATGTCACCATTGAGCTGAGACCGCGCTGGAGTTTCTAACAATAAAATCATCTTTGCGATCTGTCGTATATAGACAGGTGTCGTCCGCATAGAAGGCCAAATGAATACCATGAGTTTGAGGGACATCATTAATATACATGTTGAAAAGAGTGGGGGAAAGGACCGAACCTTGTGGAACCCCTGCTTGCATTTCTCTTGGCGCTGACATTTCGCCTTCAACCGAGACCTTGAATTTACGTTAAGATAGAAAGGACCCAATAAGCTTTCTGAAAAAGATGGGGAATTCCAATTTTGATAACATAAAAAGCAAACCTGAGTGCCACGTGGTATCAAAGGCTTCTTCGATGTCCAAGAACACTGCAGCCGTAGACATTTTATTGTTGAAATTAAGGGTCACGTGATCCGCCAGCCTCATACATTGCAATGTCGTGCTGTGACGTGCACGAAAACCAAACTGACTTGCGTTGAGCAGGTCTCTTTCTTCAATATGTTTATGGAGGAATTTCAAAATTGCTTTTTCGAATAGTTTTCCTGTCGTGGACAGGAGGCTGATCGGACGTAAATTTTGAGGAAATTTCGGGTCTTTACCCGGTTTAGGTAAAGTTATTATTTTTGCTTCCTTCCAAGTATTTGGAAAGTGAGAGAGCCGAAAACAGTGATTGAATAAGTGAGTTAGGTGAACCAATGGTCTCCTTGGAAGGTGCCTGAGGCATTCATTTGGGATGCCGTCAATTCCACAGGCCTTTTTTAATTTCAGGGATTTTATTAATTTCTGAACGTCACATGGTCTGATCCTTAGAGGGGGGTTTTCATCCACGGCTTCCAGCAGAGCTTGAACTCTAGCCTCCACCCGCTGTTCATGGTTTTCGTCGCACAGGTCATGTGGCGTGAATTGAGTTTCCAAACAGTCGGCAATTTCATTGGCTTTTTCAGAAGGATGAAATTTTAGGCCAGAAGAACCATGAATAGCAGTTGGTGCCCTTGGTCCGTCTCTCTTAAGGAGAGATTTCGCAATGGGCCATATACACTGAGGTGTGAATCCAGAGTTGCTTATTTTCGTTTCCCACCTTTCAAGTGCCTTTTTACGGATCATTCGCCTGATTCATTTGGTGACCCAATTGACTGCCATTTTATACGCTGGATCCCTGGTTTCTTGTCACAGTTTTCGTAGCCTCTGTTTATATTTTATCAAACGATCTAGACCAGGAAGATCGTTGTTTATGTCCGAAAGTGTAACTTTACTTGTCGACAGCCTATATGCCGAAGCAATAGAGGCTGCAAAGTCGCGTGCCGCTTTATCGGCTTCTACCCCCGAATTAATTTCTAGTTTAGGTGATATTAGTTCAGAATTGAGGCTTTGAAACCGCTCCCAATCTGTAAAATTTTCAATGGGTTCCGAAAGATTCCTAATTTTAACGTGATCCAGTATGTGGAATACTATTGGTAGGTGATCTGAGTCCAAAATATCGGAGACGATGACCTCTGACACTCTGATATTTTTGTGAACCACAATGTCTAGCACGTCACCATTTCCCGCAGGGGAATAGTGAGTGGGGCACTGTGGAGCTGAGATTTCGAAATCGCCCATATCAAATAAATCCATAAGTTTCAAACCTGAGGGGTTTGAAACTCTACTATTCCAAAATGGGTTCTTAGCATTCAAATCACCTGCCAAAATAGACTTTCGTCTGAAGCTTAAGAGCTCAGTGATGTCAGCATCACTCCAGGCTTTGCTTGCAGATTTTTAAAGAGCTGCAAGCAGCACTTCGCTATTTCCAATTGGTATGCAGACCCCTGTCGATTCTACTGAAACAAGGGGTGGTAGGTCTACATGGTTGTGGGGAATGCAGTTTCATACTGCAACGGCAGTTCCGCCATTTCTCCCGGACTGGCGGTCGATTCTACAAAAGTAGTAATTTGGGATAAAGAACCTCTCGTGAGGTTTTAGATGTGTCTCTGAAAACAGGGCCACATCTACGTGTAGGTCTTGCAGCTGTTTACTGAGCTCATAGCGCTGCCTCCCAATGCCATTCGCATTAAATGCTATGACTTTGAGGGGCCTATGTACTCTAGTGGCCATTTTGTTTCATTAGGCTTAAAACAATTTTGGTAATGGCCATTATTTTTTCCTCTTCGGACACTGCACCACTGACCTCTGTCATAATCTGCTGTACTACAGTCACTACTCTCAACATATTGTCGAGAGATGGACTGTTTACATGACTAGCCTGAGTTGACTGACCTGTTTTTGGTTCCTGTACAAAGACCGGGATGCTCGGTTTCGTGGCTTTTGGTGGGACTGCCACTGGAACTTGGAGAGTCTGAGGTCGCTGCTCCTGCGATGTGCTGCCACGGAGCGCTGCCGCGAAGGAGACTCCAGGGGTAACGATATTCGAGGAGAACACCCTTCCCGTCGTAGTTTTGGGTGCTCTCTGCGATTTCCTCCTCTGCAGTTCCTCCCTCGCGTGTCTGCAGCCCCGGTAGTTGGCGGGATGTGGCTTCTCTCCTTCTTTCAATTCACAATTGCAGCATGCTGGAGTGGAGGCAGCGTTCTGCTTCTCAGGACATTCTTTGTGCAGGTGGCCACCCCCGCACCACATGCAACGTGGAGGTTGTTTGCAATTGGCCCAGACGTGGCCAAACTGTTGGCAGTTGTGACACTGCGTAAGGCCACTCTGTGCTCTATATGCCTCAACCCGAATGGAAATGTGGCAAAGGCTTTGAAGATGGAAAATTTCTTGAGATTTCGCCGTCCGGGTTAGGGTGATAAGGAAGAGCGGGAGGTTTCTTGCTATCCTTTCGTCTGAAGGCGACCCGCGGGTGGTTGTCATCTGCTTCACGCTGACCACATCAAATCCCAGGGTCACCAGTCCATCAGATATATCCTCCGCAGGGGTATTGTGAGGGAGGTGACGGATTACGGCTTTTATGGGTTTTAGGGACTTGGGAAAGAAGGTAAAATATGAAAGACTGTTGTTAGATAGATGGGACTTGACGGCTTCGAAATCCGCCATGTTCTTGGTGAGGACTCTGGTCCCGTTTCTGGTACTGCGGAACTCAAAGTCGCCTTTGACAACATTTTTCAGTTGCTTCTGCAATTGAATTAGGTTTACAGTGGACGTGAGGATTATTGGGGGGGGCCTGCCTGCTTTGCCTGAGGTTTCCTCCTCCAGCGCAGTGGCTTCTACAACAGAAGTTTCAGTTTCCATAGTTGCCTCCCTGAGGGGGGCGAAGTAGTTTTTGGTGGCAACCTCTGGCTTTGTGTTGCTTCCGACTGCTGCAGTTGGTTTTTTCGGAGTCGGTGCGGTTTC